AAAGCAAAGTCCCCCCTCCTAGAGTATGCAGTGTAGTTGAGGAGAAAGATAATAACCCCCCAAATTCACAAATATCAATGTAAATGTATGTAAAAATACACTTGTAGAGTATGAAGTCAGGGATACTTACTTGTGGAATAGGAAGTCATGGTAAGGGTGAGAGACAGAGTTGTCAGAGTCACCATTTTAGAAAATGAAGAGGGGCCTTCTGAGCCAGTGAAGTGGACTTGCCAAAAGTTAAATTACCTGAAATCAAATTGCATTGGGGCTGTTTGAGGAAGGGCAGGAAGTCTGCTGGGTTTGCATGGGGGTGGATTGATACTCAGCTCTAGAGGAATTTGGACTCTTTCCCAATATATGGATCACTATATACTGGGGATGGAACTCAGGGGTAGAGCTCCTACCTAGTCCACATGAGGCCCCAAATAAATCCCCATAAATTTCACAACAAAAATCAAGACACCTATGAAATCTGAACACCTGTGCATCAATGAAACACATGTTTTCAACAACCCCTGTCACAGATGCAGAGTGAGGCATTACCTAACGTGCCCCATAATATTGAAAACTCCAGGATTGAACCTTAGTCAACCTGATGATGATGCTCACATATTGTCCACTGAGAGTTGCATTGCAAGATGTTCTAAGTGCAAACTGTTAGAAATGTCTTCACTTTTGTAAAGATAAAAACTGACCCACTGCACCTTCCCATCTCTGTCCAAATTAATGGCAAGTTTCACTGAGTTGGGATTGGTGATTCAGTATGTAATACTTGGAACCCAAGTGCAGCTCTCTTACTTGATGTTGTTATGACTTTCAATAAACTTGTTTCCTTTTATAATATTATTGTATAAATATTATTGTATAATTATTATTATATATTGATGCATTAGGATGACACAGAATAGTTGGGCTCATGGTGATATGTCTCCACATTCACACAGCATAATTAGGATTGCTGCACACACAATTTTCTCTTCCCTCCGATCCTCCCTTCCCTGATTCATCTCCAAGTCTTTACTGTCTCTTCTATTTTCTTTTTTCTCTAACTTCTGCATATGAGATAAATATATGCCCATTGACATTCTGAGTCTTACTTATCTTACTTAACAAGATGTTCTCCATTTTCATTCATTTTCCTGCAAATTACATAATTTCATAATTTCATTCTTCTTTATGGCTTAATAAACCTTCCTGATATATATATATATATATATATATATATATATATATA